CCCCAGTGGGGTGTGTGCAGGAGGCAACTGGTTGATGTTTCTCTCTCATTGATGTTTCTAGCTCTCTATCCCTCTTCTTTTCTCTGTAAAAAATCAATAAATAAATTATATATATATATATATATATATATATATATATATATTTAATTTGTGCACCAGGTCTCTAGTTGTTTAATAACCTGCTATCTGTTTAAATGTTTTGGGGTGTTTTTATTGTAGTAGTTAATCTTTAGTTTTATGCCATTGTGACCTGATTGATATGATTTCAATTCTCTTGAATTTGTAGAGAATTAGTTAATGTCCTAACATGTGGTCTATCTTTGAAAATGTCCCATGTGCACTTTAGATGAATGTATATTTTATAGCTCTGGGTTAAAATGTTCTGTAAATATTGATTAAAACCTAGTTTTAGAGAATCCAAGATGGCTGCACAGGTAAACACCTAGCCGCAGCCGCACACAACAATTTCAATAAAATACAACTAAAATATAAAATGGACATTACCCAGAACTACAGGAAAGTCGACTGACTGAAAATTCTACAATGAGAAGCAAGGAGAAAACCAGAAGGAAGAGCCAAGGAGGTGTAAAAGCCTAAGGTATGGAGACACGTGGCACGCGCGGGGAGGAGGGAGGCTGAGTGCCTGGCTGGCGTTCCCTAGCTGGAAGGAGATAAAAGCTCCGACTGTGCTGGGCCCCAGTTCCAACTGCTCTGAACCCCAGTTCTAGACCAGACCCCGGGGATCCAGGCTCAAACAGAGGGAGCTGGGCTGTAAGGCAGAACCCCGGGGGAGCGGCGAAAGGAGGTCCCGGAGGCACGCACATTGTGCGCAGAGAAGGGACGGTTGGCTGTGCCGCGGGATTGCCCTGGCGGGAAGGAGACAGGGGCTCCAGACTGCTCTGAACGCCACCTCCAACTACACTTCCAACTGAACTGATCCCCAATACCGGGCTCATTGGAGAGAGCCTAGACTGTTTGGTAGCAGGAGAAAATCGAGGGCACCTTTCTCTCAGAGGCGCTTGCAACGAGTACTGAAGGACCCTGAGACTCAGGAGCTGCATAGGGCGGGGAAGCCAAGCTTGTAGGCTCCACCCTGAAATCCCACCCCATCAGGGAAGATGCGAAAATGCCCAGACGAAATAGATCACAAATGAAAGAAATGAAAGACAAAAAGTGACTAGATATAGAGTTCAAATCTACGCTTATAAGGTTTTTCAAAAAATTTCCTAGAAAAGATGGATAAGACCTATGAGGATATGAAAAGGGATCAACTAGAATTAATAAGGAATCAACAAGAAATAAAGAATACATTGTCTGAAATAAAAAATATTATACAGAATCCTAAAAACAGAATGGAAGATTGCAAGAATCAAGTCAAAATTTGGAACATAAAGAGCCAGAAGACACTCCTCCACAGAAGCTAGAAGGCAAGAGAATCCAGAAAATTGAAGATAATGTAAGAAACCTCTGGGACAACTTCAAGTGAACCAAAATCAGAATTATGGGGGTCCCAGAAGATGAGAGAGAGCAAGATATCGAAAACATACTGAAAGAAATAGTGACAGAAAACTTCCCCCACCTGGTGAAAGAATTAGACTTACAAGTCCAGGAAGCGCACAGAACTCCAAACAAAAGGAATCCAAAGAGGACCACACCAAGACACATCATAATTAAAATTCCAAGAGCAAAAGATAAAGAGAGAATATTAAAAGCAGCAAGAGCAAAGCAGGTAGTTACCTATAAAGGAGCACCTATAAGATTGTCAGCTGATTTCTCAACAGAAACCATGTAGGCCAGACAGGAATGTCAAGAAATATTCAAGGTGATGAATAGTAAGAACCTAGAGCCAAGGATAATCTATCCAGCAAAGCTATCACTCAGAATCGAAGGCCAGATAAAGAACTTCACTAATAAAAAAAAGCTAAAGGAGTTCATCACCACCAAACCAGAATTACAATATATGAATTGCTGAAGGGGGTTCTTTCAGAAGAGAAAGTAAATAAAGATAAAAACTATGAACAACAAGTATGTAACTATCAACAAATGAATCTAAAAACAAAGGAAATTAAAAAAAATCTGATGAACAATATTAACTGTTAAATATAATAGGGAATCAGAGGTATGGAAGGGGAGTGAACTGACAATTCTTGGGGAAAAAGGGAGAGGGGAATGTGGGAAGAGACTGAACATAAACTGTGCACCTATGGATGAGGACAATGAGGAGTGAGGAAAGGGCAGAGGGTGGGGTGGGAACCTGGTGGAGGAGAGCAATGGAGGTGGGGGCGGATGGGGAAGGAACATTTGTAATAATATGAACAATAAAAATTTATTTAAAAAAACCAACCTAGTTTTAATCTAGTTTTATTTTATTTTATTTAGGTGCACTGTTTCCGTGTTGAATTTTTATCTAGAAGATCTATCCATTGATGCTGTTGGGGTGTTGATGTCCCCCATTATGATTGTATTGCTATGGATCTTTCCCTTTAATTACTTCAGAATTTTCTTTTATATATATTTGCGTGCTCATATATTGGGTTCATATATGTTTACCAGGGTTATACTTCTTGTTGTATTGGTCCCTTTAGCATTATGAAGTGGCCTTAATTTTATTTTGTTAAGGCATTCATTTTAAAGTCTATTTTGTGGGGTATGAGTATTGCTACCCCAGCTTTTCTTCTTTTTTTTTTTTCATTTCCATTTCCATGGAAATTTTTTTTAATCCATTCACTCTCATCCTGTGTGTCTTTTGTTTTGAGGTATGTCTCCTGTAGGTAGTATATATATGGGTCCTGCTTTCTTATTCATTCAGCTATCATATGTCTTTTGATTGGAGCATTTAAGCCATTTTCATTTAAAGATATTATTGATAAGTACTAATTTGCTGCCATTTTCATTCTTTATAACTGTGTTCCTCATTCTCTCTCTGTTTCTTATTCTAGTGACAGTCCCAAAAACACTTCATTCAGTGCTGGTTTGGTACTAATAAACTCTTTTATCTTTTTTGTTTTTGTTTTGTTTTTTGTCTGCAGAGCTACTAATTTCACCTTCAATATTGAATGATAGTTTCTATTGCCAGTCTAATGCAGGGGTGGGGAACACCTGGCCTATAGGTTGTATAAGTCCCACAAAAACATTTGGTTTGGCCCTGCCAAGGCATTAGGGGTTAATTAATTAAATGTTTGCTTAAATATCGCAGGCTAATTTTTAAGTTGATATAACTTGTGAATAATGTTATAAGTATCCAAATGGCCCTTGGCAGAAAAAATGTACCCTACCCCTGGTCTAATGGTAGCTCTCTTATAGGTAACATTCTGTCTCTCCCTTGCTGCCTTTAAGATTCTTTGTCTTTAACATTTGCCATCTTAATTATGATGTGTCTTGGTGTGGGTCTTTTAGGGTTATCTTGATTGGGACTCTATGTTTTCTGGACTTGTATGAATTTTTACTTTACCAAATCAGGGAAGTTTTCTGTCATTATTTCTTCAAACAGGATCACTATTCTGTGCTCAGGTTCTTCTCCTCTGTAACCTCTATTATGAGGATGTCATTATGTTTCATGTTGTCCCAAAACTCCCTTGCACTCTTCTTTTTCTTTTTTCTTTTTCCATTTACTGCTCTTAATGGATGTGTTTTTCTACCTTGTCATTTGCTGATTTGGTCCTCAGCTTCTTCTAGTCAAATGTTGAATCCTTTCTGAGTATTCTTTATTTCAGCTATGTCATTCTTCATTTCTTATTGATTCTTATTCATCATTTCAATCTTTTCTTTCATGTTGCTGTAGTTCTCATTTAGTTCCTTAGAGTTCCTTTAAGTTGCTTGTAGTTATTACTAATTTATTTGAGCACCCTTAAAAATTACTTTCATTTATTTTTGATAAATTACTTACCTTCATTTCTTTTAGTTCCTTTTCTGGTGGTTGATCTTTACTTGCATTTTGTGGTTTCTTTTTCTCCCCATGTTAGCAGTCTGATAGTCCAGGGTGATGCAGGTGGGGACACAGGAGTGGGTCTGTGTACTCAGAGCTGTCAGATACTGCAGGGTCCCGGTGGTGGCTCTGATCTGGTGGATCTGGACTAGTCACTGGGGTACTGTGGCAGGTCTTTGTTTCTGGGGAAGAGGGGGGTCAGATCAATCTACTAGGTAATGCCAGTCAGCAGGGCCATTTGTTCAAAGGTGCCAGTTCAGGTACAGTGGATCACAGTGGCAGGTACGTGCATCTGGGGGAGTAGGGTCACAGTGCTAGGGTCGTTTGTCCCATGTCAAGGCACTGGGACCATTCATCTAGAGCAGTGGTTCTCAACCTTTCTAATGCCATGACCCTTTAATACAGTTCCTCATGTTGTGGTGACCCCCAACCATAAAATTATTTTTGTTGCTACTTCATAACTGTAATTTTGCTACTGTTATGAATCATAATGTAAATATCTGATATGCAGGATGTATTTTCATTATTAAAAATTGAACATAATTAAAGCATAGTGATTAATCACAAAAATAATATGTAATTATATATTGTGAAATATTTACTTATAATTACAAATAAATGAAATTTTGTCTTGAAGCATGGTGTAGCATGGATAACAGTCTTAATATAACATAGTAAACTACATTGCTACATTTTGCGACAGTATGCATAAAAATCCAACATCAGTGTGAAGGTTGAGATTGCTTCATTCTCACCAGATCAGAAATTCTCGGGGCAGTCTTTGCAAGAGCACAATGAGATCATCTTCCACAACAAGTCTACTTCTGTATTTAGACTTGATAACCAACAAGCTGCAAAACTCTGTTTCATAAATATATGTTGTTGGAAATGGAAGAAGAAGCAACATAATCTCAGACAGAATAGGATATGACTGCAAACACTTGATCCAGAATTTTGTAACTTGCATTGTAGAGAAATCAGTTCTCGCTGCATCACTGTTAATATTAATAAGTTCAATGAACTCCTCTTCTGCTGTCTCAAGAGCATCGTCAACTTTGACTATGAATGAGCTTCTGGCAAGTGCAAATGGAGTGTCAGGTAGATTTGGAAAGTACTATGAAATTTCATCTACAAGCATGTGCAAGTGTTCTTTCACAGAAATTATCATTGTAACCCTTTTGTCTTGTTCAATGTCATGTCCCTCAAAGAAAGCAGATAAGGTAGGCAACATGTAAATTTTATTTTCATCCCTTTTTTTTTTTTAAGCTCGTTTCATTTGCAATGATCGGATCTTTTCAGACAAATTGAGGCATGTTGCATTTTGTCCTTGCAGTGATAAATTTAACTCATTCAAGATGGCAAAGATGGCAACCAAGTAAACTATTTTCTGCAGTTCACTTTTATTGCTGAAAAATGCTTCAAACTGTGGTCTTCCTGATTAAAAAAACGTTTTGAGTTCATCACAAAGCTCAAAAACACATTTTAAAACTTTTCCTCTTGACAACCATCTCACTTCAGTGTGAAATAGCAGAGCATTGTTCAGCACATCCAACTGGTTGCACAGTTGTGAGAACAGTCGACTATTTTAAAGTGCTCACCTTTACAAAATTGACAGAAGTTATGACATTTTTCATTACTTCTTGTAACTCTTGTGTCAGCATCTTCATTGCTAATATTTGCCAATGAATCATACACTGAGTTCTGATGACTTTTCTTGACTCATTCAGTACCAAATGTTGAAATCCAGATCGATATCCTAGCATAGCTGGAGCACCATCTGTGCAAACACCACAAACTTTTTCCCAAGAGATCTTATGCTCTTTCAGTAATGAACCAACTGTGTTAAATACATCACGTGCAGTAGTTTCATTTCAAGAGGTTTGCAAGAAAGAAAGTCATCTTTAAAGTCGCCACCATTAATATACCTCACATAAACCAGTAAATGTGAACAGTTTGCAATGTTTGTAGTTTCATCAAGCTGGATACTAAATATTAGAAGTGGAGCAGATTTAATTTCCTGGATTACCTAATCAAGAATATCAGCAGACATGTCATCTATTCTTCTGAGAACAGTGTCGTTAGATAAGGAAATTGCACTCAATTTCATAACAAATTTTTGTCTCCAATCACAACTTGAACAATGTCTTTAGCTGCTGGCGACAGTAAATCCTCAGCAATGGTGTGAGGTTTCATAGCTCTGGCAATTCTGAGTGCCACCAAATATGAAGCTTCAATGGCTGCTACATTTTGTTTGTGGTACTTGCCATCAATTTCAAGTATGGCTTTCTTGAGTCCATCAGATTTGCTTCTAAAATAGTTAGTATCCTTTCTGGCAAAGCTCTAATGCTTGCTATCAAAATGGCATTTTAGTTTGTTTGGCTTCATAGATTTGGCTGATAGAACTTCAAAACAAATAAGACATTGCAGTTTCTCAATTCCTGCTGTAATTATTGAGGTAAAACCATGCTGTAAAAAATCCTCACTATATTTTCTTTTCTTAACGTTCTTTACACTATCCATCGTCATGGGATGGTTTGCTAATGAAAAGAATATACAACAATAGCTTTAATAACACAAAAGATGATACATGGCATAGTTCACTCAATACAGTTCATTAAAGTTTCCTATGATTTACCATTCTCTGTGTTGTTTTTTTTACATACCTGTTACTATCACAAGGGGGCAGTATTCACATCAACCACAGCTGAATATAAAAAGACCAATCAGCATCCAGATTAAGTTCCTATGGCACAGATATTTTTTTTGCAGTAGGTGATGATTTTACATTACATGATTTTACATTTACCCATTATAATTCATGAAGTGTCGTTTCACCTCCAATACTGCTGATTTCAACACAGCGGCTGCTTTCTACACAGTAGCTGCTCTCTACACATGTGTGACTGGTCCACATAAGTACATTATGGCGCCAACCCTGTCACATACACCTGTATTTGTACAAGGTGTATGTGATGGGGTTGGCGTGATGATGTCATCACTCCAGGTACTTGTATGTGGGTGTATCTGCATGTGGGCGGACCCGCTTGGAGACAGAGGAGTGGTGTCTCAGTTTCTAAGACCATCGGAAATATGTGTTTTCCGATGGTCTTAGGCGACCCCCGTGAAAGGGTCCTTCAACCCCCAAAGGGGTCGCGACCCACAGGTTGAGAACCGCTGATCTAGGGCCACTGGATCAGGGTGCTGGGTTGGGGTGGCAGATCTATGTGATCAGGCATGCTTCATGTCAAGGTGAGAAGGTGGGCCAAGTGCTCCACTGGTGAAGACGTTGGGCTGGGCCAGGTACTGCTCTGTTGGTGGAGGGGTGGGCCAAATTGGGAGCTGTTTCACTGGTGAAGGGGCCAAGCAGGGCCAGGCTGGGCACTACTCATCTGGTGGAGGAGGCATGCCTGGCTGTGTGCTGCTCTATTGGTGGAGGGGGTGGGCCAGATCAGGCACTCAGCTCACAGAAGAGGTTGTTTGGGAGCTCCTCATATTATGTTTTTATTTTATTTTAATAATGTCTATTATTTCTTTCATGAATCATGCCTTTGCTGTTGTAACTACATTTCATTTTCCTACCCAAGTTCATCTAGATTTTTTTTTTTATATTGTCTCCTAGGAGTTTTATAGTTTTGTGTTTTACATGTATTCATTTTGAGTTTTGTAAAGGGTATTAAATCTGTGTCTAGATTATTTTTTATGCATGTGGGTGTCCATTCATTTCAGAACCATTTGTTGAAAAAACTATCTTTGCTCCACTGTAATATCTTTTCTCATTTGTTAAAGGTCAATTGATTACATTTATGTGAGCTTATTTCTAGGTTCTCCATTGATCTATTTGTTTGTTCTATCATCAGTACCACATTGTCTTGATTATTGTATCTTCATTGTAAGTCTTCAAGTCAGGTAGTGCTAGTGCTCTGACTTTGTTCTTCTCTTTCAATATTGTGTTGATTATTTAGATATTTTGCTTCTCCACATAGTTATGAACTTTAGAATCACTTTGCTAATATATACAAAATAACTAGCTGGGATTTTTATTTGAATTTCAATGACTTTATAAATTAAGTGGAATTTCTCTCCACTTATTTAGTTTTGTGATACTTTTCAGCAGAGTTTTTAGTTTTCATCATATAGATCTTGTTCATATTTTGTTAGATTTATACCTAAGTATTTTATTTTGTGTGTGTGTGTAAATGGTATTATATTTTTAATTTCATTTGTCCATTGCTGATTCAGATTTTCTTTAAGAACAACAAAAAATTATGGAAATGTTTGACTCAGCATATAAGGTATGTATGCATGAAATGCATGAAGAAAGTAAGATATCAAAAATAAAATTAATGAACATTTATGTAAATTTTACTGTATAGTATATACTAAGCACTGGAAGGACTTAAAGTTGAATAGATACTAAAACTTTGTACTTAAAGATTTGTTTCACTTTTATTTCTGTCACTTAAGATTTTTAAGCCACAGCATATATGAGTACAAGTGTTTTAAAAATTAAAATAACTCAATATTTGTATTACCTTAAATCAGATGGTAGAAAGTTATATGAATGGTTAATTTGCCATCAAAATTATAAGGGATTCATTTTTGTTTAGCCCTCCCATCCTGGTGATTTTGTTTTAGGTATTTGCATTAATAGACCCCAGAAAGCTACTAAAGTTTTTATATAAAACCTTCATTCAGCTATCCCTAGTGGAAGATAAATGGCACCTCTCCTTTTACATATATATATATATATATATATATATATATATATATATATTATTGATTTTTTTACAGAGAGGAATAGAGAGTTAGAAACATCGATGAGAGAGAATCATCGATCAGCTGCCTCTTGCCCACCCCCTACTGGGGATGTGCCCGCAACCAAGGTACATGCCTTTGACCGGAATCGAACCAAGGACCCTTCAGTCCCCAAGCCGACGCTCTATCCACTGAGCCAAATGGTTTCGGCGGCACCTCTCCTTTGTGTTTCTATTCTTCTAGGAGGCAAACTTTTCTCAGTAGCTACATACCGTGTTTCCCCGAAAATAAGATATCCTCTGAAAATAAGACATCCTCCGAAAATAAGACCTAGTGCATGGAAAGATAAGACATCCCCTGAAAATAAGACCTAGTGCAACTTTGGGAGAAAAAATTAATATAAGACACTGTCTTGTTTTCAGGGAAACAGGGTAGAAGTGTCCCCCTTTCATCTCATTGTCCAGAATTACATACCATGCCTGTAGATAAAACAATCTTTGGTAAAGGGAATAGTACATCCACCAAAAGTAGGATATTTGTGAAGAAAGGAGTCCTCTTTAGAATTATAATACATCAATGAATACTGCTAGTTATATAGATAGGGTCTAGTGTAAAAGCTGGTGATATCACAAAAGCATTGTATATTAATTCGACCATGAAGGTCATGATCATGTCTTCCAATCCCTGATGAGGAAACTAAGACCTAGGGAATCTAATATAATGCTATCCATCCAAGGCCATAGTTCTGTACAATAGAACTTGCATCTAGTTTACCAGATTTCTACTCCAGCATATTTTCTTTTCCTTTGTAAAAAATCTCTATTGTTGAAAGTATTACATATGTCTCTCTTTTCCCCCCACGAGCATTTTTTGTATGAGGTCCATCCCATCATAATTTCTTGATTTAATCCCCTATTTTCACTAGTCCAATAGCAAAACACTATATTCAGAAGAAAAAAATCAAAGATCTGAAAAATTGAAGTTATTTTTGGTTAGATCTTTAGAGATAGAAGAATTGTTAGGTTTTAAAGACATTTCAGAGGTGAATCTTGTTCTTTTAAAAATGATTTATCTTGCCTGGACCGGTTTTGCTCAGTGGATAGAGCGTCAGCCTGGGGACTGAAAGGTCCCGGGTTTGATTCTGGTCGAGGGCATGTACCTTGGTTGTGGGCGCATCCCCAGTAGGAGGTGTGCAAGAGACAGCTGATTGATGATTCTCTCTCATCGATGTTTCTAACTCTCTATCCCTCTCTCTTCCTCTCTGTGAAAAATCAATAAAATATATATTTTTAAATGATTTATCTTAACATTTTTAAATAAAAAAGTAACAAAAGTATAAATTATTTTGCTTTTTTATTGAAATATATCATAAGAAAAGTTATGAATGTTGTTATGAATATTCTTTTATTTAAACAGTTTTATCTGTTTTCTCACCTTGTCTTAATTATCAAGTATGTTTTTTCCTTTGAGAGAAAATTTTTTAATATATATTTTATTGATTTTCCACAGAGAGGAAGGGAGAGGGACAGAGAGCCAGAAACATCGATGAGAGAGAAACATTGACCAGCTGCCTCCTGAACACCCCCTACTGGTGTTCAGAAACACAAAGGTGAGGTGCCATTTATCTTCTGCAACCAATGTACAAGCCCTTGACCGGAATCAAACCTGGGACCCTTCAGTCTGCAGGCCGACGCTCTATCCACTGAGCCAAACCAGTTTCTGCAAGAGAGAAAAATTTTTTATTTGTCAAATTACTGCATACCCATACTATTATGTATTTTTTCAGATTACTTCATGAGCTCGATACCTTTACATATTTTAAATCATATATATCGATACTATAAATGGATTCAAAAGAATTTTATTAACCCAAGACTTGATCCTAGAGTATTCTGCTATTAATTTACCCAGCTTTCCCCAACAAACACATTTTCCATCACCCTAGACAGCCTTATTTGGATCATACCCATAGGCTGGCCCATGACACAGGAACATATTTTTCATTTTGATAGTTATCTTCTTAGGCTACAAAAGTAAATCCAAGAATTAAAGTATTTAATTTTTTTTAATTCTGTTGATCTCCTAAGATTTAGGACCTAAATAATTTCCTTGTGTCTGTTTTATAATAGAGTCTCTATTGAAGAAATGTGAAACCACAGAATACAGATAAAAAACTTTGAGGTCCTGGTATATTATCATAATCACAAGCAGCTTTATACCTTTCTGAGGCAATCCAGCTCCCTTATTTTTTACTTTCAAGGCACTTTTATCAGTAAGCTTGTTGACAAAAAGAGAGCAAAAACAAATCTGACCTGCCTTCCAAAGGAGAGGAGTTTATAAAAAAATAGATACTATTGGATTATTAGAGAGGGTAGTGTTATTCTCTAATAACTGCTACCAAATGGCATCAATTGCATGGTACTTGAGCTTTTCTCTAATATTTTACCACTTGCATTTCCAGCTCAGACCCATATAACTTTCAATTGCTAACTTGAGTATGTGACATCAAGACATAGCTGATCTTCATTTTATACAAGTGTAGAAAGACGATGGCTTACTTGGTATCAGTATGTCTTTTAATCCTCACTTCACATCAATCTCAATACTCACCTTCTGTGAAAAACTTTCCTCCACTACCTCTACCATTCTCTAAGAGATCCTAGGGTTCCTTCCCTTTTCAGATCCTGGTCCTATTTTTGGCTCCAGCTTACATTTTGTTTTAATTTCTTTATTGATTAAGATATCACATATTTGTCCTCATCACCCCATTCCCATCCCAAAC